GAGAATAGGGAGAAGGAAAAAAAAAAGAGAAAAAAGAAAAAGGAAAAAAAAAAAAACGGGGGATGAGAAAAAAGCAGAGAAGAGGGGTAAGAGCCTGACAGAGGAGGGGTGGGAGTAAAAGAGAGAAGAGGTTGTTGGGTCGAGTCGTCTCGTCGAGGGAGCAAGAAAGATACGCATAGATATGTTGCCGTGTCGGGTCAGCTGTGTAATATCGTGTACTATATCAATGCGGAAGTTTGAAGTCGGTGAGATGTATTATGTCGGTCGGCCGGCAACGTTTTTCCCCGAACGAACTGTGACTTTCTTTCCGCTGTGACGACTTCGAGAGAAACTACAACGATAATATTTGTATTTTCTCGAAGTTTCACCTTCCTATGATATCAGCTAAATGAATTAGAGGTTTAAAATTTTCGGGAAAACTCAATACAGACAAGGATTAGGAGTGAAGAACAGTACAACGAATCGTCTTCTTTCTCTAATTATTTAAAAATACGTCAAAGAATCCGCGCTTAGCGCGGAGGGCTAGGGGGGGGGGGGACTGAATTCAGATAAGGATTCAAATACGAGAACGGTACAAAGAATCGTCTTCTTTCTCTAATAATTTAGTGAAACGTCAAAGCTTCTGCGCTTCGCGCGGGAGAGGAAAAACTGAAACCAGACAACGATTAAGAGTCGAGAACGGTACAACGATTCGTCTTCTTTCTCTAATATTTTAATGAAACGTTTAAGCAAAACAAACACTCGCAAATTTCTTATTAAATAACATCTGAGAATGTACATGTATACTATACAGTAGGCTTGCGGGTGCACCATGTGAGGGAGAGAGAGAGGATAGAGGAGTCCTGAAAAGGACTGTTTGTGTAGTCTTGAAAAAGACTGTTGGTAATCTTTCTTAGCTTATAGTTCTAAGGAGAACTATAGTGCTTGGAGAGGATGAGTGGCTCGACGTTTCGAACAGGTTGACTATCCTTCGTCTTGAGTGTGTATGTATACTATACGTATACAATACACTATTATCTAGATCTGTTAGGAATAAATCAATTGTCAAAATCATTCCATAAGTTGGGGGTAACAACAAAATATTCCATCTTTATGACCAAAAGTGTAGATACTTCAGACAGGACAATCATCCATGCATACTTGCCCTATTTGCCAGGAAAATCTATCTAATCATAGACCTTTTTATTTACAAATATTTTGGCAAACTTGTGTTTTTGGTGCTTTCATACTTTAGCCCATCGATTGAACTAATGACAATACTTGTATGTGTAAAATACAGAATCTGAGAACAACAACACAGAATTTATAAAAATGAGTGAGTGAGGATAAAAATGCAATGAGTCTGTATTGCAATCAACAGATGAAAGGGGATGGATGGATGGCTGTTGAAAAATACAGCATTCAGTAATGACTTTTTTTTAAAATTGTAATAAACCATAAGATTGTATAAGGTTAGGTACAATGCATAGAGCTCTAAAAAAACCTCTTGCCTTGAAAATATGCATCTCTATTTCTCCTCTCTCTCTCTCTCTCTCTCTTTCTACCTCAATTCAATTCAATTCAATTTATTTTATTCTTGAACATCAAATAAAACATCAGATTGTACATTCGTAAATAACCACATTTGACCAAGAAAAGGAGGACAACAAAAAGATTATTACATTGTGTGTACATGTCAGATGAAAACACATTGTATACAAAAAATTAACGATATGTATTTAAAAATTATGATTAAGTATAAGTATTAATAATTATTTTTTAAATTTTAACTTTAAACAAAGAAATGATTCTACATGAACAAAGAGTAGTATCAACATTATTCAAGATTCGTGGCCCAGTATGTTTAAAAGAATTCAGGATTAGATCAGATGTTGCTATAGGGAAATGGAAATTATTTGATGAGCGAGTATTATACTGATGGAACTCAAAGTTGTATTGAAAAAGACTTATTTTATCATTAGGAGCATATCTATTTTAAACAGCATGCATAAGTGTAGCGATTTTAAATTGATTAATATCATAGACTGTCATTGTGTTTAATTTAAAGAATAAAGGTCTAGATGGCGCTAGATAGAGAGAATTAGTACAAATGCGGAGTGCTTTTTTCTGAAGTTTGTGAATTGGATCTAGTTTTGTTATTCCAAAACTAGCCCATGTACAGTATTTAATGAAAAGAAGTATCACGGAGTTGTATAGCATGACGAAGTTTTTTTTCAGGTAATATGGATCTTAATTAACACAGCATTCCAAGATTTTTAGATATTTTCCTACATATATGTAAACGATGATTAAGAAAAGTTTGTTTGTCATCTAAAATAACACCAAGAATTGTCACTGTTTTAGTTGTATTCAAGACTGTCCTACCCATTTCTAATTTAACATCAGATATATTGTGAGAAATGTTTGGTTTTACAAAAATGCATGACATTAGTTTTACCGTAATTAATTATTAACTTATTAGCTTTAACCCAGGCTACCACTTTAGATAACTCTCTATTAGTTTCATACAATAGTTCATCAAAGTTACTATGTGAGGAAATAATATTGGTGTCGTCTGCAAAAAGTACAAAATGGAAAAAGGATGATGCGTTACATAAGTCATTAACATAGAGAATGAATAAGAGAGGGCTCAGTATTGAGCCTTGAGGTACTCCACACTGGACCTTGGATTATGAAGATTGACAATTTGTATAAAGAGTAAATTGATATCGATCATTCGAATAACTAAAAAAGCAATCCCATGTTATGCCTTTGAAATTACTTTGAAAGGAATTTAGAAGTACATTGTGTAAATCAATAAGGGCATGATCACAGGAATGGCCTAGTCTAAAACCATATTCAGCATTATTCAATACGCCATGTCTATCTAAATTAAAAAGTGTTCTATAGTAGTATTATATACAATTTTTCCAATATTTTTGAGAAACAAGGTAATAAAGTAATGAGGCTATAATTTGAAAATAAATGTTTGTCACCTTTTTTAAACACAAGGATTATCTTACCCATTTTCATTTTATTAGGGACTTTACCAGAAAAGAAAAAAAGTTTTCGATATGAACTAATGGTTCAGCTATTACCTGAATAACCTTCTTTATTAAGTTTGAGCTTGAGAATATTATCAAAACTTGTACTATTAGTACTTTTAAGCTTTTTTTTTTACAATATTAATAATTCCATTTGCATTTGTTGGATGTAAAAATAACGATTTATCACAAGGATTCAAGTATGATGTAAAATGAGGATGTACTAACTGTTTCAGTTTTGCTTGAGCCAATTAGGCAATACTTGAAAAGTATTTGTTGAACCCGATTTCTTCATCTTTTTCTATTTTAATCCCGTTTTTCATGAAAAAAAAAGAAAGGAAAATCTGACTTTCTTTCATTACCAATTAAATTGTTTATAATTTGCCATATTTTTGCAAGATTATTTTATTTACTTGTAATAATTCACAAAAATATTGTTTCCGAGCTATTTTGAGTGTAGTGTTTAAAACGTTACGATATCTTTTGTATTTGGTATGTGATTGAACATCACGTTTGACAAAAAATATCTTATATTTTCTATTTTTCTTCTTTATGCACTTTGATATTAAAGGACATACCCATGGTTTCTTTGGAGTAGATTTCTTTTTACTATGATATTTCTTTAAACACTCTTTATCTACAGCTTCATTGAATTTATACAAAAATCGATTATAAGCACAGTCAACATCATCAAAACATCATTCCAATCAATCTTCGAGAGCTCTTTTTTCAAGGCATCGGTTGTTGTAGAATTTATACATCTCTTAGAGTAGTTGGATTGATGTGACTCAATGACATTCATATTAATATTATGTTAGTATAACAAAACAGGTAAGTGGTCAGTGGTATCATTATAAAAGATTACAGCTTTAACATTTTTATCACACACATTGGTTAAAATTGTTTTTTATTTAAACCTGTATAACCTTCTATTCAACACAATTAATTTCGACGTCTTTTCAAAGAGTTAATTATATAATGTGACACTTGTAGTATATTTCATATTATTTTCTAATCTTGTCAATTATGTGAATTCTTTTTTTGTGAAATGTGAAACAAATAAACTTGAAACTTGAAACTGCTTTCCATCCCAAAAATTGGTTTAAAACTTTAAAGACTATATGGTCAAAATTTTTCGGAAATACGTCAGTTTAAACAAAGTTTGAGGCGTTGTAGTGCTAACGCCCTTCTGTCAGCTAGGCGACGACTCATTAATAGCTATATTAAAATCATGAATATTTGTATGTTGGTTTCTATATATAACGGCAACAATAACATTTTTACGTTTCGGTACATCGATTTCAATAAAAAGATCTTTGTTTACAGATACCCTACTCGATGGCCTAAATGAAGCCTAATTAAGATGAGCTAATATTTCGACAAAATGTTTGTATTGTTCATCAAAATTATAACAAACTTAATTAGAGTCTGCCCAAATCAAAGATAAATAATGATTGAACACTTCTGCCTGGTGAATCGAAAAGGCAATCTCGTTCAAAGTCCCTGATCATTGTACCTGATTAACGGTCGTATTTTACCATCGCCCGTATTGCGGTAGACAAAATACAAAACTAATTTCACTGCATTTTGCAAACCTATCAATCGAGATTGTAAACAAAATGACGTTTTTATAGCTGTACTTGACATGCCTTAATGGGTCAATGTTTTGTTACAGCATGATTGCTAATCAAACGTCAATGTGATTACCTTTCTAATTAGTACTTTACGAGACTCATTTTATCGTCCACGCTTTCCTCTCTATATGATTGTTTGATAGGATCTCGTGCCTAACTCCTTTTCACCGCTCCACTCAATATTTCTTGAACATTAAGTTGTGCTTAAAATTATGACGATTATTGATTGTTCTATGTATGATTTAGGTGACCATTACATGTCATGTTGAAAATTTAAATATGTGGGATGATGTACAACACACAAATGAGCATAAAATCCATAACGGTCTCAGCGTACCTCGTGATGTCTATATCTGTAGAACGGTACATTGCAGTGGTCTATCCTCTTCATTTCAAGCGCCTCATCACTCGACGACGTGTTTCGACCCTCATCGTTATCATCTGGGTCCTTTCCGTCTTAACTCAACTGTTCACCTTCTTCGCTCATTCTGTTGACACCTTTACCAACACGTGCAAGGATCAGTACATAAACCACTTGACACAAATCATAGTAGCTTTCTATTGGTTCTGCCTCCTCCTCGTTGTCCCTTGTCTCACCATGCTAATTACCCAGGTTCTAATCGCTCGCAAGCTTAGTCACCGCTCCAACCAATTTAGAGGCATGACCAACAGCCCAAATGGGAAACAAACGCCATCTTTCCACATCGTGGCCAGAAACCGCGTTCTGAAGATGATGCTGATCGTCATCCTCATCTATCTTGTCTGTTGGACTCCGAACCAGATTGCTTATCTGTGTTATTACATTGGTTGGGTTCCTGAATCTTACCTAAATAGTCCTGTCCATTCCATGCTTACATTTCTTGGCTTCTACAACTCCTGCACGAACCCGGTCATCTACGCAGCAAGGTATCCCGAGTTTCGAGAGGCTCTCAAGGAAATGTTAAATCGCAACTCCACCAAAAACACTCCACTTTTTGTAAAAAGAGATGTTGTCGAGATAGGCACCGTGGGACGTCAGACCATCGACGGCCAAATTTAGCCAAAAGTGAGGTTGGAATCCAGCCTTGGATAACTCAAACTCAAACTATGGAATAAGAGGAAAGCCTTGGAGTGGTTTAAGAACTACCTCCACAATATAAAACAATATGTAGTAATCGCAGGTATTAATTCTATTGACCGCGGTGTACCTCAGGGCTCAATTCTAGGCCCACTACTGTATATTATAGATATATCAATTACTTCTACAGGTCATCAAATATTTTGTCTATTATTCTCTTTGCATACGATTCTGATATGGTCCAACTCATTCGCAATTTAATTTGAATTTGATTACTGAGGATTTTGTATTGAAACAGATTGATAATTTGAGTATAGATAAAGCAACTGGTGAAGATCACATCAGCTGTAAACTTTTAAAGATGACAAAGAATGTTATCGCAGAGTCTCTTTGTGATATCATCAACAAACCCCTGTCTACAGGGGTTGTTCCACGTGAATGGAAAAAGGCTCGGGTAGTACCAATATTCAAATCTGGAGATATTTCTTCCTTGAATAATTACCGCCCCATTTCAATATTACCTATCGTGAGTAAAATTATAGAAAGGGCCGTCCACCAACAACTCAGTGAATTCTTGGACGAGAATAAATTATTACACCCTAATCAGTCTGGTTTTAGACCTAAACATTCAACAGCTACTGCCCTTGCAAAACTTGTAAATCAATGGTCGTTGAATATTGATAACAAATAAATTTCTGGAGTTGCCTTCATAGATCTTCGTAAGGCTTTTGATACTGTTGATCATGAGCTACTTCTACATAAACTAGCTTGTATAGGTTGTAGTAATAGGACTATTTATTGGTTCAAATCATATTTAAGGGATCGACAACAAGTGACCCAATTCAAAGGAGCCAAGTCGCATCCATCAACCATCAAATTAGGTGTGCCACAAGGTTCAATTCTTGGTCCCCTCTTATTTTCAATATATGTTAATAGTCTACCTGAATGCACTCCTGAAGGTATCATAGATATGTATGTACGATACGACACTTACCGTCAGTGCAAATGATGCAACTGTTGTGGAAGAAAAATTAACTGTTGCATTAAACAGAGTCATGGCATGGATTAAGGAAAATCGTCTTGTTCTTAACACTGAAAAAACTTGTGTCATGTTAATAGGCTCTCCTGCTAATCTCAAGAAAATTGAATCTTTCACCATTTCATTAAACGGCAATTTGATCAAAAGAGTTCAATTCACCAAATGCTTAGGACTTTTGATAGATGAAGAATTGAAATGGTCTAAACAAATCGAAAGCGTAAGTAAACTTACCCAGAAAAACATTAGCATGATAAAGAGAGCAAAGAGTTTTTTTTGCCTCAAAAATCCTTAAAGTTACTTTATAACAGTCTAGTGTTGCCACGATTAGATAACTGCTCTGTTGTATGGTCGAACAGATTTCAATCTCATACAACTAAGCTGCAAAAAATTCAAAAGAGGGCCGCAAGAATAATATTGAACAAGACATATGACACACCGTCGGCTGATTTGTTCACAAGTCTGAAATGGATGACACTAGACAAGCGGTTTGAGTTAAGTCGCGTTATGATGATATATAAATACGTTCATAACTTAGCACCTTCTTACCTTCAGGTAGGCTTAATCCATCCTAATGATGTGCATGAGCATCATACAAGGCAAATAGACAGTGGATGTTTACGTGTGCCTAGATTTCACACTGATTGTAACAAGTGTAGCCCAATTGTTTCTTCCATATTTGAATGGAATAAGCTAGATAATTCGTTGAGAACGGCTTCCTCTGTCAATTCATTTAAGAGATTGTTTCAACAAAGTTGTAATTTGTGAATTGCTCAGCCGAACATACACTACGTGCATGTTCTGTAATATTAACATGACTTATTCACATAACTGCGACTTAATTAATGCTTTCCTATTGACATTACTGTTTACTAGGTTAATGATATATGTTTATTTTGCAAACGAGTATTATTTTTGTTACTGTTCTGTATAAATGTTATAAACGATGTAAATATGTTCATTCGGGGCCCCATGGAAGACCACTCCTTGTTGGTGAATGGGCTACCCTGTCAAAAGAATAGAAATAAAATAGTTTCTTTTCACACAGAGAACCTGTGATTTTACCCACAACAATTAATATGTAAATGAAAGATATAACACATTGGATCAGAACTATACTATTAAATTATCACTTAATTTATTGAAAACTAAATATATATTGTTTAGTAATATAAAAGTTTAATTAACTAGAAAAATATTATTCTTAATTGATATCACTGTTATTGAAAGGGTTTCTACTACAAAAAGGTTATCATGGAAAACACATATTGATAACATGTGTAAAAAATATTCCAGAAATATCGGAATACTTTTGAAAGTACTTTTTCGGTCACACATATTATTGAATTTATACTCTACTTTAAATTTGTTTTTTCTTATACTACGAAATTTTAGCCTGGGGCAACGATGCATGCTCGTTATTGGACAGAATCTTTAATACTTCTTCAGAATTTAAACAAAATATATAAATCATTTAGACTCTCGAGCACATACAGATGCACTCTCTTACTCGAACAAAATTGTACAGATACGTGAACTGTTTTCATATGAGGATATTTATGTAGAGGTGTTGTGGTTGAGTGGATACGTCGCCGGACTGTCGATCACAAGGTCCGCGGTTCGAGTCCCGCCGCCGCACTACTGTCCTTTGATCTACATTTACCACACTCCACCCAGGTGAAGTAAATGGGTACCTGGTAGGAATTTATTCCTTGAAACGCAGCGCGCGTAACAGCTGCACTGCTAAAGCCAGGGTAATTATGCTGCATTATGTAGAGCGCTTAGAGACTTCTGATAAAGTAAGTGTTAGGCGCTATATAGGCAAGGATAATTATTATTATTATTATTTATGCTGTCGATCAGTAGAAATGAGTAACGGAAGTTATTTTAGCAATGTTAAAGGTAAAGACCAGTATTGGAAAGCCCCAATTTCAAAAAATGAAATGGAAGCTCTCATTACCAATCATGTGAAAGAATATGTTTTTTTTTGGAAACGCCCTAATTTCAAAAAATGAAATGGAAGCTCTCATTACCAATCATGTGAAAGAATATGTTTTGACTAATACATGATGATAAAAAAATTGCCGGGAAACCGCCTACTAATTCATATATTTGGTAAATTTGTTTCTCTCATGGTTTGTGAGCATATGGAAACGTTTGCTTGTGTTTGTCTCATAAAAGAATTTGACCACAAACTGACTCCCACACGGTGTTGAGTGCTCAGGGGTCACATGCCACTGGCTTCATCCGGCAGGTAGTTCCATTATGTGAATGGGTAAATTAACTATTACAAAATGAGGGGGACACATCACATTGTACAATAGGGACACACATTGTTTTTATTGTGCAAAACATACTCTTTTATTGACTAAACTTATTGCATTTAATAAACAATAAAACCAAAATGCATTTTGTATTCTAACAATTGGAGTACAAAGAATAATAATAGGTGAATGAAATGCATTAAACATCACAAACACCTGGGGAGGAAGCATTCATAAATTTGAATACATAGTTGATAAACGACTCCGATGAAACTATAAAACCAAAATGAAATTTGCGTTCTGGCAATTGGAGTACAAAGAATGATAGCAGGTGAATAAAATGCTTCAACAGCAACACAAACACCTGGGAAGCTAGGAAGCATCCATAAATTTGAATAATTTAGTTGATAAACGACTCCGCATGTGAACGTTTGTTGGAGCAGAAAGCAGTGGATTCTTAACAACACGAACCCATTTAACAGAATGTCGGAACGTAAATTAAATTTGGCGCGGTTGGAAATGCATCTTTCTACCCTGCGACTTTAATGGTACGATCCAGTAAATTAAAACAGTAAAATGGCTCTTATTTTAAAATTACTCATTAAATAAAACCCAAAACTTCAGTGATATCAGAACAAATATATTATATCTTACTAATAATTAAAAAAGATGTATAAACATTGTGAAAGTGTTGCATTTTACGATAAAAGACACCGATTTAGCGAAGATGACCTCATTAGTGCGCTTGCATCAGGGAATTCAATGTCAAAAGGTCAATTCAGGCGCTGATAAGTTATTGGTCGGGCCTTTTTGTTTCCTTTATTCCGACATAATTATACAATCAATCAAAACAAGTTTAATGCCAGAAGAAAGCTAACGATTAGTATTTTCATTAACCGCTTGCCCCAAAGTCGCTGGACCCCCAGGAAGAACAGTGTCATATATTTTTATGACACTGAACGGGCAATCCAGCCAATCATTTTTAAGCAATCTATATACACATGTAATTTTTTTTTTTTTAATTCTGTTATGTTTCATTTCGTTTTATGTCATATGTTATTTGTCTTTTTAATATGATTGGAAAATAAATACAATACAACAACAAACGAGTGAGAGCTTGCGAGAGCGGCCAAAGTGTGATTGAAACTCGCTATTTGTTATTCTTCAACGCAAAAAGAGACGACATTGTGCTGGATAAATGTATTTTTTCCGACGAAAGTACAGAAAATTTGCATATGGGCTTTTTATATTATACTTTATGAAATGTTACCCGAGTGACTTCCGGGCGCCCCAATGCTGGAAAGAAACGCACATTTGAGAAAACTTCACTTTTTCATGGAAAAATGCTTATTTGTTCTATGCACGCAAGTCAGATTGAGCGGATGATACAACGTTTCCATATGGATATAGGGTAGTCCCATATACATCTTTCTGTGTATAGTGCTTGTAACTTTACGAAGAATGGGCCAAATTTCTTAACATTTTGATGATTCCAGAACCTTGCAGATGCTAGATGCTTGATGATCAACCTTTTCTGATCGATTCCACAACGTTTCTTTCACAATGCAATCGCTTGACCATAACTGGTCTTTACCTTTAAGGGAAAATATCGAATTACACAGCTACCCCACTATTTGAGCGGGCTCCTATCACCTTTCAAAAATGAGAACCCAACTTGCGAATATTTTGTTTTACTTTTACAGAACACAGACTTTGGAGTTCCCTTCCCAGATAATTTTAAAGAGAGACCCACTTAATACGGTTTCAGAAATGCATTTAAACGTAATTTGTCTCCAGCAATACGACAAATGACTGAAATAAACAACCGTTTGTTATTTTTACTTTTGTTATTTCATAGATGTTCGCTTTTCCATCTCGCACCCATGCCTAACATTTCTAGAGAATTTATCAGTCCCATCTTACATTATACTACTACTATCTTTCTTCTTCGCTTTATTTCTCGCTTCATATCTCTGCCTCCCCCCACCCCTCTCTCTCTCCCCCTCTCTCTCTCTCTCTCTCTCTCTCTTTATCCATCTACCCACCTATCCATCCATCTATCCTTGTGTCGTCCCCCTCCCCCATCTCTCTCTGTCTCTCTCTCTCTCTCTCTCTCTCTCTTTTCCACTTTTAACTAACATGTTGTATTTTTTTCATTCATCTTTTTGTCTCAGTCTAGTGTATATATATTCTGGGTTTGTCTATATAGTTTAATTCATTGAACCTACACGCAACAAGCCTGGCTTTTAAGTAGGTGTACTTTTCATTTCCGTATTAATACAGAACATACTTTCTTGTTATTGATAACTATGATTTAGATTTATTTATTTCCATATTACTTAAGGAAACGTTAATGTTGTATAAAATGTATTATACTTTGTAAAGTTTGCATGAAATATGAATTAAAAGGCAACCAATGATCAATCAATGTAAGAAATGATAGGTTCTAAGGGCTTTCTTAAAAGTATCGAGAGAAAATATTTGTCTAATGGTAATGGGTTGAGAATTCCACAGAGCAGGAAGTGATGCCATGAAGGAGATGTTTCCGTGTGTATTCATGTTTACAGGGTGTACAGTCAGAAAATGTTGTGATGATGATTACAGAGTACGTACTGGAGTATGTTAATGAATAAGCTCTTATATAATAGATGTACCACAGACTTGGAATCACAAAAGAAAAGTTGTAGGAAGAAATACCTTTGAGTTATAGATTTTTTTTTTGGTTTTAAATCAAGTTTCAAGATAAAGTTTAGTTCAGAAACTTCATATTTCCATAAAAAGATGTATGCAACACACATTATAGCCTACAAATAGAATAAAGATTTAAATAAAATACATATATTTTTTACAATAATAATACTAATTGTCCTCGTTATAATAATAGCAATAGTAATAGGAATAATAATAATCATTAAAACAATATATTAAAAGAATTACCGGTGCTGAATAGTGCAACGATTCTGTTTACTTCTTGTTCTTGTTCCTCTCGTTATATATTCATAAGTTTGTATTTCATATTTCCTCTAGCTTAATGCCTTAGGTTCAATATGTTAATATTGTATAGAAATATTGTACCTTCTTGTGTATTCGTATATGGATTTGCATGTATAGCGCCATGAGCGTCATGCCTGACGGACCTGGTGCGCTTTATAAGAAAGCCACCATTATTATTATTATTATTATTTGAAGTATAATATATGGTAAACATCAAGATGTTACGAGGGAAGTGTAGATATGACAGGGCAATTTAAAAACCATGTAAAATGTGAGGAGCCTTAATAAAAAGTAAAGCTTATACAGTCTAATTAATGTTCAGTAAAGGGCGTAGAGGAAAAGCAGTACCGAATACAAGAAACGTACAGGGAGAACGAACCTCGGAAAGTATATAACCTTTGGACATGCATACAGCCTACATGAAACCATTTAATATCATCAATTCAATAGTCAAGATACTTAAAGAAGTGAAACTAATCGAAACTCGGGTATTCGTATCTGGAGACAATTTCTCATGATTCTTCATTGTTACGTTACCACACTCTTTAAAACAGTATTGTTTTCAAATACTATATAATAACAGCAAGCTAACTCCTCTAAGATGCATTTAGGAAGCTGTAATCTATTACCTTCTTGCACTCATCCATTTTATATCAATTGATTTTCTATTAAGGGGAATACTGTAAGGTACAGAACAAGACATTTCCATTCGTAGAATTTCATTTAGTGATAAAGAGATCCCGCAATCACTAATTCTATAATTCGTTTTAAAAAATTGTTACCACATCTATCTAGATTTACCCATCAGGATCTCAAGGGAATCGTTTTTTCAAATAATTAATTTTTCAACCACCTTCAAATATACTGACAATTATATCCCTATCAAGTATCTCTTTGCACACAGGTCATACACAAGCATACACGCGCACACACATCCTCTCTTTCTCTCTCTCGGTCTTTTTTCTCTTACTTCCTCGATTTCTCTTCTCTTTCTCTTTCTCCTTCTCTCTCTCTCTCTCTCTCACCCTCTTACTTTCTCTTTCTTTCTCTCTCTCTCTTTTTCTCTCACACATATACATACACACACACACAGGCACACGCGCGCGCACACACACACACACACACACACACACACACATACCGAGAACAGGTTTCAGAATGAACAACATGTATAAGCGATATCCTCTTAATAACGTTTTATTACCTTACATTAATTTGCAATTTACACATCATTAATCAATTTCATTCGCCAGCTTAAGAAAATATGTTATCTCTCTCAAACATATATTGTTAAGTTTTAAAGGTAAAGACCAGTTATGGTCATGCGATTGCATTGTGAAAGAAACGTTGTGGAATCGATCAGAAAAGGTTGATCATCTAGCATCTAGCATCTGCAAGGTTCTGGAATCATCAAAATGATAAGAAATTTGACCCATTCTTCGTAAAGTTACAAGCACTATACACAGAAAGATGTATATGGGACTACCATATATATCTCTCACAGACCATGAGAGAAAAAAATTACCAAATATATGAATTAGTAGGCGGTTTCCCGGCAAATTTTTTATCATCATGTATTAGTCAAAACATATTCTTTCACATGATTGGTAATAAGAGCTTCCATTTCATTTTTTGAAATTGGGGCGTTTCCAATACTGGTCTTTACCTTTAACAATATTAATATTAATCATCAATGATAAGGTTTGCATATACTGTAATCCAGAGCTATCCGTCTACTACGACAACCCTTATATGGAGCATATGGACACATAAAATGAAATATTGATACTAACGAAGCTACAGTGCGTGAACAAGATATATCATTTCATTAAACATTTATCCATTCATTCATACATTAATTTATACATCGATTCATACATTAATTTATACATTAATTCATACATTAATTCATTCATTAATTCATGCATTATTTCGAACACTAATTCATACATTAATTTTACTACAATTCCTTTAATGATTGCGCGCCTTAATTGTCATGGTAGCTCGGCTAAAGCCGGGGTTATAACATGATTACAGGGCCCTAAGGGAGAATAATATTAATACTGATTGGGTTACCCTAGGTTATAAAATATATAATTATTATTATTATTATTATTATTATTAATATTATAATAATTGTCATTCTTATTTCATTATATACTTTACATATATAAAAATAAAACATTGTAATTTTACAATACTGAATATTGTTTTACTTCTAGTGATATATTCATGAGGCCAAGATTAAAGTTCCAATAAATATTGTATACATACGAGAGGGTTATTAAACATCCCAATACGCGTTACGTAACATTTGAAGGGACATGTTTGTATTAATAAAACGAGGCGACTGTCATTGTTCATATAATCCTGTCTTAAACCGCTTATAAAAATCAAGAGTAAAAAGATTCATCAAAATGCCTTGAAATAAATGAAATGTTTCATTTGTGATTCTACTTTTCAAGGTGCGTTCGAGTAAATTTGAAATAGTAAAAACGTACATAATCATTGCAATACAGCTAGGATTACTTAGTCTGTTTAAGTCACTGTCGCAGACCAACAGCGATAAGCCTCGTACGACAATGTGTTAGACGATGTCGTAGTAGAAAACATTGATTTAATCTGATGATACATTTGCAACCATACGGAAATGTTAAATATGCTATTTCTCGCATTTATCAAAGACGAGATATCTAGGAAAAGGAATTGCTCAAAAATATTATGATCGTTGCACTCTCCAAAAAATTCCATCCTTTTAAAAAAATATTTTTAACATTTCAGCTCATAAGGATATTGAGGCTACCCCTGCTTACCCTGACGACCACATAGTCATATTGTCACATTCTTCTACTCGTTAGGGATCAATTCAGTGGTTTTGAGATTAATCGTTAGATATTTCGTCAATTCATCAAAGAAATATTCCTGTCCCCTCACGTCCTCAGTCCAATAGAGGTAGGGTCTGCCGTCACTGAGATACAACCTCGCCAAGAAAGGTATCTCATCATCTGGGATGTCTTCGATGAAGACCGCGACCACGAACTCAGTCTGGGTGTCACTCACATGGTCCATCGCGGTGCGGAACTTGAGCATGAACCAGCGATCGCGCACGGCGGCTCTGCTTAGTAGAATGACGGTCTTGTAACTCCGCCTCACCACGTAGTCAATGGAATCCAAGTAATGCATACCTGGCACTAGGTCTTTGTCACCAAAGACGTTCCTCTTAAACTGCGGGAGTCTTTCTTCGAGAGTTGGTAGAAGATGTTCGGGAACCCACTCTTCGTCATCGTCGTAAAAGATGATATTCATGTCGAACTCATAATCATTGTGGTCTCGAGCGTCTCGCATCTCTTTATACCCAATGGCCGCTAATTTCAAGAGAAAGAGTTTGTGCCTCAACTGCCATCGATTGTGATGAACGAGTACGACGATGACCACGAAGGACATGATGACAAGGGAAATCAAAGAATAGAGGGCAATGTTGGGGCTACAAAGCGTTTTGGAGTCAAAATCAAACAGCGGTTTCTCGCGAAGAGGCTCTAAAGACGCTGACGAACAAATAGTTATATTCTTGTTCATGAGTAAAAGTGGTCCTCTAATCCAGGCAAGAAGCCAACTTAGTTCACAATTGCATTCAAGTGGGTTCCCTGAAAGATCGACAGATGTATGAGAAGGCCCAATCAGTTTGAAAGTACTTTGGTTAAGTCTTGTTAATTTGTTTTCTGATAACAAAAGTGTTGTCAGCCTGCTATTGTTCAGAAACAGGTTTTTATCGAGGTATGTCAAACGGTTATCATGGAGATCAATATTTGTAATTTGTCCAAAATGTTTGAATATGTCAATAGGAAGTTGTTTTATATTGTTTCCCCTTAAGTTCAGCACCCGAAGGAATTTCAACGCCTCAAAGGCTAATGGATGAAGCAATGATATTTGACAGTCTTCCAAACTGAGATTTTGTAGAGCAGACAGTGGTTTAAATGATAAATAACCTCCCCAATCATATATTGAGCCGATTGAATTTTCACTCAGATCCAATGTCGTCAGACTAACCAGTCCATCGAAAACAGAGATATTTCCCGGAACTCTAAATTTCTCAAGCAATGTCTTTCTTATGTTCAAATGCACAAGTGATTGTAGACTTTTGAAGGGATAGAGAATCATACAAAACAAAATAGGGTTATTGTTAAGGAAAAGAGATATTAAGCTCGGAGTGACCAAGTCTATTTCAAAGATATTACATTGTGACAAATTGATAGTTTCAATTTGTTTTAGTCCCATAAATGACCTCCTTTCCACGATTGAAAGATCTATGTTTAAGTGCATGTCTAAAACCGTTAGATTTTGCAAACCGAGAAAAGCGAATGGGGAAACTTTACCCAAACGATTACGAGAGAGATCCAACTCAGTTAAGTCTATTTTCCATAGACGCTGGTAGGTGTTTACAGATTTTATTAAATTATTTTCCAATTTCAAAACCCTGATATCCTGCATGTTTTCAAAAAAATCTGGTTCGATCGTTTCGATATAGTTGTAACTGATATCAAGTAGTCTGGTACGCGTCAAGTTCGAGAAGACGAATGGATAGAGGGCGTGTATTTCGTTGTTAGAGATGTCAAGCACTGAAAGAGAATGACCCTGCAGCGTATCAAAGAAATCTGTTGGAATTTCACTAATAGTCGAGCAAAACCGGAGATGAAATTGCTCTATAGTCGACCGTGAGATGCCAATGAATATATTTCTCAACAACTTGAATGACAAAGGAATGATCCCGACCCACAGTGAGCTGACATTCAATGATGCGATCACATTGGGATCGACTGATGATATAGAGTTATTAGTTAGATCCAAAGTCTCACTGTGACATGAAAATTCGAAAGTTTCCGGGGTGATGTGCGCAAGATTATTTTCACGCAAGTAAACACGCTCAACCCTGCCACAACTACTGATGTTAATGAAAGTAAGATCGTTTTTTTCAAGGTATACACTTTCTAAATCTGGGCTCCATTTTAGCGTATCGTTGGGGAGTGATTTCAAATTTGATTGGCTTAAATCTAGAAAAGACAGCTTCTTAGCCCACCTGAAGAGCTCTGTGTCGGGAAGCACAAAATCAAAGTTGAAAGATAAATTTAAAGCCTGCAATTCTTTAAGAGGGTAAAAAGTCCTAGATTCAATCTTCCTGATGTTGTTCCTGGAAATATCCAATATGGTAATGCGAGGGTATCTTTTAAACGAAGAGTTTAAGAGAGAGGTGAGTTTGTTGGAACTCAGCCTCAGAACTTCAGTGTTTTCAGGAAGATTTTGAGGGACAGAATCCAAATTTCTGCCATCACAATCAGTTTCCTTCAGCTTAACGTCCTCGCGACAGAGCGATCTCTTCAGATCCCACGGTGTTATGGGAACAGTACCTCCATGCAGGGTTCGGATACAGAAGAAGATGATCAATGGAAGAAGAACACGGTGTTCGAAAGCCATAATGCCTGATTTTGGATTTCCGTCTGAAAGAAAAACATATAGGTTCAATTTATCTCACTAAGTTGTTATATCTTGTGTTTGTTTGCTTTTTAAGCGATAGCACCCACGACAGATTAATGTAGCATGCAGGAATAATATTTTTCTGAATTTGTGAAACGCTGGTAACGTTGGTAGAAGAGCCTCATGCATGTTGTCACCCACGACAGATTAATGTAGCATGCAGGAATCATATTTTTCTGAATTTGTGAAACGCTGGTAACGTTGGTAGAAGAGCCTCATGCATGTTGTCTTCTTCTTCTTTATCATCATCTTATACTACTACTACTACTACTACTACTACTTCTACTACTACTGCTTCTACTAATATTACTACTACTACTACTACTACTACTACTACTACTACTACTACTACTTCTATTACTACTACTGCTGCTGCTAATACTACTGCTACTACTACTACTACTACTACTACTTCTACTGCTGCTACATCTAATAATAATAACTGCTGCTACTACTATACGAGTACTATATTGCTACTAGTACTGCCTCTATACTTGCTACTAATACTAACACTTAAATATCTTCGTAAACGAAATTTTGTCGTTTTGTTTAGGTTCATATGAGATATTTTTCAGGCTGCAATTTCAAGTTTACTTTGGATAACTTTAACTTCATGAGCTGACCACACAACGTATTATCAAACGAGGCGACACAATTATAGAGCAAAACTGGAGAAGAAAACTTTTAAGCATTTTACCTTAACTTTGCACGACCCCAGTAGTTTGACGCTCCAGAGTAAGATCCCTCGCAATGGATGGTTGGTTTGTAAATTAAATATGGTGCTGAACATGCGCTCCAAAATAAGATCCTTCGCAATGAATGGTTGGTTTGTAAATTTGATATGGTTCTGAACATGCGCTCCAAACTATTCACGTTTTAATGTATATCCTCGACGAGGTGAGAAAGAGATCATCTAAATATGATGGTATATAATAACTGAAGTGTCTTTTATAGTCATCACTTTGTAAAGCGAAACTATAAGCATCCACTAAGGTTTCATTAATGCCTCCGTCCAGTAGTTTGCAAAAGCGCACTAAGTGCGCTTTTGCAAAAAACGACGGAAGGCAAAGAGGATGGTAACTTGAGATGAAAATCGATCTGCGCATGCTCATCCCAAAACTTCCATTCTTATGAAACATCATAAGTACATGTAAAGTCGTAATACGAAAAGATTTGATTTAGCTCAATTTAAATTGGATCTCTGTAAAGTTCATTGGGATGATGTACTTTCTGACCCTGGTCCAATCAGTCCTTTTGAAAAATGGAGCTCTAAGTTCAATTTAGTTTTAAATAAACATGCTCCATTAAGAAGAAACAGAATTCGTCATAAAGATTCACCATGGATGAATAATGAAATTTGAAGTAGAATGCGAGAAAGAGATCGAATGAAAAGAAATGCGAAAGGATCAGGGTCATCGAATGACTGGGTGGTGTATAAACAACTAAGAAATTATGTCACATCAATGATTAGGGAATCTAAAAAGAGATACGTTTCGGAAAGCATTTCGAATAATGAAGGTAAATTAAATGCAATGTGGAAATCATTGAGACGTATCATACCTAAAAAAAGTCAATGATAGCGGTTTTCAAAAGATAATTATAGACAATAAAGAAATAACAGGATCAAAATATATTGCATCATGTTTGAATGACCATTTTGTAGATTTACCATCTTAACGGAAGGGAACCAAAATATTTGGTGGTAATATGGATCAGTATATGACCCAAGTAAACTCAACATTTAAGTTAAAAGAGATAACAGATAACGAGGTTTTGAAATGTATTCATGATATTGCAAGGAATAAGGCCACTGGCCTCGATCAAATACCATTCAGTTTCGTAAAAGATTCTATTGAATACATTGTTAAACCGCTTACTCATATCATCAATGCATCATTAAGAAAGGGGAAAATTCCTTGTGCCTGGAAAAAGGCCCGGGTGACGCATATCACAAAGGTGGTGATAGAGCTAATCCCTGTAACTATAGGCCAATATCGGTCTTACCTGTATTATCTAAAGTGCTGGAAAAACTTGTGTTTAATCAAGTGTATGATTACCTTTCATAGAATGAACTATTATGTCATAACCAACACGGCTTCCGCCCGAAACATTCGACCTTGACTGCACTCTTATCTCTCACAGAAGATGTTTGTAAAAAATTAGACAATGGGTATGTAGTAGGTATTGTAACTTAGAAAGCGTTCGATTTTGTATCATTTGAGATTTTGCTTAAAAAGCTAAGATATTATGGTTTTGATCAACGTTCAATATGTTGGTTTCAGGATTATTTCCATGATAGGGAACAATGCACTTTGGTAGACGGTAGCAGGTCACAGAGCAGGAAAGTAACAAGCGGAGTGCCCCAAGGAAGTATCCTTGGGCCATTGATGTTTATTATCACTCTTAATGATTTATATAAATCAATAAACAAATGTTCCCTTTCTCTGTATGCGAATGACACTTGCATGTATTTTGCATCAAAAGACCCAAAGATATTAGAGAAAGTAATCAATAGTGATTTGAAATCAGGGACGACATGGTCTTCAAATAATGAATTGTTGCTTAACGTTGACAAATGTCAGGTCATGCTAACCGGCTCAAAGTCGAATTTGAGTCGTTTCTGTAATGTTGATATTCGTCTGAATAACAAAAAATTACTTAGAGTAATGGAATGCAAATATCTTGGGATTTTGCTTGATTGCTATTTCTCATGGAACCCACAAATAGACCATGTAAAGAAAAAGGTTTTAAAGGTGTATTTTGCACTAAAGCGAATGAGACAATTCACAGATGAAAAGATAGCATTAATACTGTACAAAACCCTAATTCAGCCTCATTTCGCTTATTGCAGCACGATTTGGATGAACGGTAGAGAAACTCGGTTAAAACAACTTCAAACTCTACAAAATAGGTGTTTGAGATCTGTACTTGGAGTGAATAGTAGATATCACACTGAATTTTTTTATAAAACCCTTGAAATTGACATGCTAAAAGAAAACTGTGTCAAACAGGCTTTAGTTACTGTATTTAAGTTGTTACATAATCTTGGTCCACCTGTTTTATCGTCATTGATCCAATTTGATACTAATGTAGGCTATATGTTCCGTTATGCAAATTCACAAATCCCCCTTCCAAGACCTCACACAAATTTTCTTCAACATATAGTCCATTATACCATGCATCAAAACTGTTTAATTCCCTACCCAACGATATCAGAATAATAAATGTTTTTAAATCTTACAACATTGAGATAAGTAAAATTCAAGATATTTGCTCACTGTCTTCTTTCAACTCGTAGATATATATTTTTTCCCCCTCACTTTATCACTATGATTCTATTTTGTACTTAAATTTCTGTAAATATGTTCACTTATTATAACTTGCATATTTGCTTGTAAATTGTATTTTCATTGTCTTATATTTTGTCATATGTAATCACGGCTTCGCTGAAAAACAGCTTTTGCTGAATGCGGGCACAATTGTATTATGTTTTTAACCGTGAATAAATAAAATATACCATACCATACCAAACCAACGACAACGCACTGGCCAAAATTGCAAATTTCCAAAGCGCTGGCCGAGCGTCCCCCATGCGTCCCCCATATAGCTCCGTTTAGTCTCATTTGAGAACGCCCCCTATCGGCAGAGTCCAGCGGCCTAACATGCATGTTAGCCTATGGATTTTTTGTTTAAACGAAAAGCACATCCACCCCGACGTACGTTATCACTAGCTCGTCCATTGGAACCCTCATGTCCCATTGACTTTTGAAAGTTCACCCACCGTAATTTCATCAAAATAGGTTGCAAGCTCGTCATTGCCTATATAACACATGTACAACAAGTCGAAGTTTGGACTCACTTTACCACGCGATTGTAAGATTATAGGTCAAGCACACAAAGGATAAGAAGCATGAATTATCATAAATCAGTTCTGCTTGGTTCATTATGTCCACTTCAGCCAATCCCCCACCGTAATTTTTCCATTTAGTAAAAGCAAACATTTTGCCGAGGTAAGCAAAAACATGGACTATTCAATTATTAACATAAGGGTGCAATTGTGCACCACATCAAACTCCCCTACTTTCAGTCAAGTATTTCATGGTATTATGTAGTTTGTTAGGTTTATTTCACTAACTGTTAAATTATCAGATATCAATGATAGTTTAAAGATATGGAAAAGGTTCTTGTATTTTATATTTAGCAAAGCAATCTCACATACAAAATCACTATCAAGTGTCGTCCGATCCGCCGATTGACGTCTGCTATATACGTTCTATAGACGGCGAACTAGCTATGTTTTTGCTGGCGGAAATGAGACAACCAGAGCAATATGTATGTGTGACCGGGCCTAATTAGATATAGTTTGGACGGGACGTGCCGCTCAAGCCTCGAAACCCCTACCCATTTCTAAGGGAAATTTTTAAGGATTTTTTTCGAAGTAAAGCCCATTTTTCACAATTTCGTATTTTTGCCATGCAAACACCCGAGAATAAAAAAAACGGACCCATGTTTAGAGATTGTTTGTGGAAAAGTGACCTATTAGAGCGATACCCCTCCCCACCCCCCCCCCCTATGTCGTGGTATGTGAGATTCCCCCCCCCCCCCCCCCCCCGGAAACCAAACAATCAGCATCCCATCATTAGATTTCCATAATATTGCTTGCGGAAAATATGCTAGTCGTTTTGATTTGATTTGATTTAATTTTCCACTCAAATATCCACAAATTAAAATGACATATAAACACTATAGTATTACAGTATATAATAGAACAAATGAATGTACGTAATAAAATAAGTTTACAGAGTACATTTAAGTTTGAGAATAAGACATAATATGTTATATTGCTTGATTTAACTGTGAGGGGAAAAAGGGAATCTCAGAAAAGCTAGGCTTGTTGAGCAAGATTCCCAGTTTAAATTAAGTACTAGACCACCGTCAGTGTGCATCAAATCCTGCACATGTCTGCCCCCCTTCCCCCGAGAGACCAAATACTCCACCCGCCTGCGCCAGATCCCCATTCCGATAGAAGTTTGTTTGTATTAAAAAAATATATTCCTTAGCAAAACTCTAGTATTAATTCAAGCAATATACTTTCTTCACACCTCACTTTTCAACAAAATTTACTTGTACATTTTGAAGAATATTATAGAGTAGCTTCCGAGCGAGAATATGTTTGCATTTTAATTCATTTAAACGCGCACTCTTGGGCCCTACTAAGCCTAAAATTGTGTTGCAGTCTTGAGTCAGTATTTTGGGACGATCCCCCTAAAATAAATGGAGGGGGGACGTATCTCCCCGTCCCCCCGTGATCGACGCCCCTGATAGTATCTTAGAGTGTGTGAGGGTCACGATGTGAATAGATAATGTTAGAATCATCAGAAAAAAGGATAAAAGATAAGATACTAGAGGAATTTTTGAAATCATTTATGTATATACACAAAAGATACATGTCTAAAAGTACTGGTATATGTAAACTTATCTGTACAAAGCTCATATTAATAAACGATCTTTCGCTAAAGAACTTGAAAGTCCCTTGCAAGTCTCTAATGACCTATGACTTTTCCTTTTAGGTATATTTTGTTTTTTAATAAATATTTGATTATTAGCCATTGGAAAAGTATGTTGAAGGGTTAGTGACATTATTTAACATCTGCTTACTAACTGTATAATTAACGTAAACAGAGTAATAAACACACATCATCCTGTTTGCCTACAAACATACCGAATTTGATACTTCAGACAGTTTTTAAAATGTGCTTACTCACTGTATAATTAACATAAACAATGTTATAAACACCCATCATCCTGTTTGCCTATAAACATACCGAATTCGATACTTCAGACAGTTTTTAAAATATGCTTACTCACTGTATAATTAACATAAACAATGTTATAAACACACATCATCCTGTTTGCATATAAACATACCGAAATTGATACTTCAGACAGTTTTTTAAAATCTGCTTACTCACTGTATAATTAACATAAACGAGGATATAAACAACCACCA